AATAAAAAGCTTCAATAACATTTACCTGAAGATCAAATATATTAAAAAAATTAAGAGAAAGAAAAAAAATTAAAGAAAATATTGAAACATTCTCTTATTGTGAGAAATCATGGAAATCATGAAAATAAATGAATAGATATAATGAAGTTATTTATATATCAATTTGACTTGACCCAATGAAGAACGTACATACGTCATTTTATTTTATTATACTTTATTGTATATAAGCTGGTGAGAAGTTTGCTTTATCCAATAAATTTTTTAATAAGATTTTGAAAATTTCTGCATACAATTTCTCATAATATTAAATTTTCTTTGTATTTTTTTCTTTTTTATTTATTCTTCCCTCTATTTTATTTTATTTCGTACCACATATTTAATTTAGTATTTACTTTATAGTTCATTGTGATTAATTTTGCATGATTGCTTTCTATTCTTTTTTTTTTTATTCTTTTTGTTTTCATCTCTTGAAGAAAAAGTGTCACCCTACAATACATTAAGATAAATACAAACCTACGAATGTAAACACACGTATGATACACGTACGAAAAAAATACACATAGAAAATAAAATTACACGACTGAAAGCACGTTTCGAAATTAAACGTAACTTGAAACACACATGATTTGTATTTTCCATCAATTGGCAGACATTGGAATTATATTTGTGCTTCGCTTATATTTGCCATGCTGAGAACAATTTGAGTGCCGATCGATCAGTTGAAATGTATTCCCGGACGGTGTTGGTTCATTCATACGATACAATGGAATGCCTGCAGCACGCGTACACACGCTGTCGCGCGTGGCACGCTCTGTTTTACGTTCTCGTAGTTGCGATTTTACATTCACAAGCCGATAAACACCTGGACGAAAAAACACACAAATCAAATAGCGAGAAAGTACTTTACTTAATCACTGGGGTATAAGTAATTCTCAAGAAAATTACATTCCCTTTCCTTGAACAATAATAACGATTTTATAATTACGCGTGAATTTTAATTAAAATATTTCATGTTTGCGTACACAACTTCGAAAATTAAGTTTTAATTTTGTCAGGTTTAAATTGAAAATGCAAATTTTTAATTATGTCAAATTTAAGTGGAAATGAAATTTTTACAAATATATTTTTAATAAAACTAAGACGATGTTAATTATGAGAGAGAAAATTAATTATAATAATTAGAATACCAAGAGAAAGAGGGAGCTAATTTATTCTTCGCGTCGCAGTAAAAACGTTTAAAAATTATATAATCCTGATTTTTAAATTCGATTAGAACGGTATATGCAGTCAAGCCAATTAATTTCGAGAAATCGAATTCTTTGGTACTTAATTGACAGCTATTGTTTCCTTTCTGATTCTGACATACGACTACGTCAAATCGAACATATGATCGACGATGCAAGGATAAATATTGGCGATATCAGCAATTGCGTTTACGATTAGCGTGCTGTCAGATTTTGGTACACTCTGCTGTGAAGAGATGCAAATCGTTGGTCGGATGAAATGCACATTCGGTCGTAGAAGGAAAGATAGATAAGACGCGTTCCACAGGCTGTAACGCTTTCTAGCTACGTGTTTGCGAAACCAGTCATTACATCAGTTTCATAATATGTGATTGCTTGCGGGCATACTTTTGATATGTTTAATATATTATTGTTTCAGCCGCGAGGCGTAATATCGTTTAGCCATTACACCTTGCGGCTATAAATATAATCGTTTGTATCAACATTCTTTTACCTTGTATTCAATACAAGGTTAAATATAATATTCTTTTATTTATCCTCCAGATTTAAATTTTAATTTCATATTAATGGAAAATTAATTCAGCCATATATGTTCTGTGTTTTATAAACCTCCGATAAAACACATACATATAATGACATTAAATTTGTTTTTCAGAAGTAGTTAATATAGCTTTGTTATAACTACTTGTTAACGTTATGCAAATCGACTAATTATAAGTTAGAATATGACTTCAGCTATATATTCATGCTTGATGTAAGAACCGTGAATAATGTAAGTATGTACGTAATAATATATGATATATAAGCAATTTGTATTAATTGCCTCTCAATGTATTTTTCGCAGAACTTTGCAATCAATATTGAAATTTTTTTTTGCAGCATCGACCGACATGTATAAATATCGATTATCGATTATCGATTATATATTTCTACGTTTTGTTTTGGAGAGATTTTCAATCGGCTGTCGAACACTTTCGAAGTCATCAAAGCAGTTCTGCAATGCTGTAATTTCTGAGATTTCTGCGCTTTTAATTTCCAACGTCGTAATTGCATTACGTACATAGTCGCGGCTTTTTTTCAGACTACTCATATGTTACTTCGCGATATCTCAGACCGCTTGTTTATAAAGCGTTACCATATATATGGAAATGCGAAACAATGCGGCCGCTATCAGCGAGATCGAGCTATTTTCGTAATTCAAGCGGCGAAGGCGATCATACATTGTACGTGCAAACACGATCAAGCTTTACATTTCTCTGATAACCTCCGATAAGCGCAACATCATGAAGTTTATTTTTAATGGAAAACTAAATTGGTGAAACATAAACGTCATTCGAGAGGAAGAGATCGCGAAACCTTGTGAATCTTGCTGTGAATGGTATATAAATTTTATGTTTATCTCTGACTTATGAATGAAGTGCCACCCGTGTAAAGTGTTGCATTAAGATTTTATGCCTCTCGATAATAATAGGTTTTTCGGTTTGTAACTACATCGCAAAATGTAGTAGTGAATAACTCGAATCAATAACTGCAACCAATAACTCTGAATTAGTTTAAATGAAACAAAGATTTTAGTAACAGTTATGAAAAATTTTTATTCATGCATATCTGCTTTATACTGCAATATATTTTAATTGGCGATTTCCAGAGTATTATTACTTTTCTCTTCTTCCTTTTTTCTTTCTTTCCAAACTAGAGTTGTTATTATTTTTGTAAGCTTTATAGGTTTTTTCTTTCTCTTTTTATCTATCTTCTTCAATGAAAATCTTTAATCTTTTACTAAAAAATTTTTCATCATTCAAATCTTAACATTAATAGCAACAATGTAATATTGTTAAATAAAATCAATTTTGTTTGTTATATTTATTTATTTGATATATAAAATTTATTTAATAATAATATTTTTTATGTAATCTGTAACACATGCGTACATTGTGTATACATATGTTACAAATAAAGAATATCAGATTATTATTATTATTGCTATGTTATATTTATTACATTGTTATTGTTAAGTGCTTATCAATTTTTCAGTTTATTTTCACATATTATATTATACATCGCTATATTGCTTACACATACGTATTAAATAAATTTAGTCGACAAATGCAAATATTTTATGAGACTAGTAAGTTGATTAAGACGTGAAGTTTTGTTTATTTAACACATTGATTATCTGAAAAAAAATTATTATCAAAGCAATATAATATATACATATATAAACATATGAGTTTATAAGAGTAAAAATTATATTTGAATCTATGTTTATTGGTAATGCATAATAAGACTAAGAAGTGCAAAAGTGCAAAAGGATCAAGAGAACGAACTGGACAGACATTGCGTTTGCATTTATAGTTAATCAATATATAGTGAAAAGAAACGTTTACCACCGATCGTAAAAGCTGAATGATTTACAATTAGAGGGGTTTGCAAATTAAAAATTGTACGATTCTTCCGTGTATGACGCAAGTGAATACCGTCTCGTCGTCTGGTAATTATGATCGTAATGCGCGTATACACTTAGTTCGTGCTTCATTAGAAAATGTCTTTTTCTTTCTACATGCAATTAATGCGTGCTCAATGTATATATAGTCTTGGTAATTCTCTGATTACATCAACATTAAATTTGAAATTTTTTGTTACATTAAATTTAAACTTTACTATAATATCATTTTGAAAAATTCATGAAACATTTTCTATTATAATGAATATTGCAAATGTTTTGCCAAAGTATTTTTAACTACATAGAAGTTAAATTACATGAGAAATATAAGCTGACAGTTATGATGAGTTAAAAATTTAATATCTCGTAGTAAATATACCAAGCATCGTACTAAATATTTTCAATCAATCGACCAGTATTCAACATTTAACGAGTCCCACAGATCTATTCAGACGGAAACTTTTGAATTGTTTATTTATTCCATAACAGTTTATTTGATTAAACCTAGGCCTTTCCCCACTCGTACCGTTATCGGCAATATATTACTGAGAAAGACGCATAACGCGTGTGCATTCGACTTCACATTAAGTGTCGCGATGTTAGTAAAAGTTTTGAAAAATCAAAAGTCCCGCGGGATATCTCAGCTGGGTGAAAACACACGGATAAAACGGTCGTGAAAATGAATGATACTTACAAGATTCCGTTGCAAAGTATTTTTACCGGTTGATATCGGAATAAACCGATTGATATCGGTATGTGATATGTTACTCTACAAATGAGGCTAAAAAATAGATATCATAAGCACTCTTTTCAATTATTCTTTTCTGATTTTTCTAGTGACAAACTCGATTATAATCATTGTGACCGAAACCAAAATGTATATACTGAGACATACATTTCTGTCAGGAATTTGATGTTAAATATTATATAGCACAAATTTTTCCTTCGATTGTCGCTTTTTCTCAACATCATCGCTTTTCGAATGGCACTTTATTAATAATTTAAACAGAGAAAAGAGAGGGAATCCTAAACGATATTTATCACCATTGAGGCACTATTTCCTCATTCGTACACAAAAATAGATGAATAAAGAAAGTTCTTTATCGTACTTTCTATTCATTTCATTATTAATACTTAATAATAAAAAGTAATGATTCCTAATCAGAATATAAATCAGATAAGCGTTTTTTATCATTCAAGTCAAATAGAAATCCAAAATTTAATTATTCAGAAATCATAACATACATCTTATCATCATTTTCTGAAATCAAATTCAAATTATCTAATTTGCGTTAATTGTATGCCTATTACAGGGAGGAAAAGCGTATGGCCTGAAAATAGAAGACGAAAACAAAAAAAGAGAAAGAAATGAATACCAAGAACTGAAGAAGAGCCGGAAAAGGAATGGTAAGCGAGAATAGCAAGATAAAACAAAGTGTCCTTGTTATTAGAATCAAACGTAAAAGATCGAAGGAGATCCTTTGTAGGCTCATTTTTCGGCAGTAAATGTCGGACTGACGCGTCGACCGCGACGCAGAAGGGCAGAAGGTGCAAGCACTTCGGTATGCGCGAAAAAGTGATATACACTGACGTCTCCGAGGAAGAGTTGGATATTAAGAGGGAGAGAGAAAAAAAGAGAAAATTCATTTCTCTTGTGGGGTAAGCACTCAAAATATATACTATTAAACACGTAAATTAAAATATAAGATAATAATCATTATTAAATAATATCATTTAGAAATGAAACGATATTATTAGGATAAATTATTAGAAATGAAATAGAAAGAAAAAGTAAATATATGAAAAAAAAGAGAGAAATATTCTTAAAGATATGACACTAATGGGTATATCATATGATAAAATATGATTCAGATTTTCTACAACGTCTTTCACAAATCGGAAATTATTAAACAATTAACATTATTTTGTATTTTGTTAACAGTTTACAAACCAGAAATCGGGATAACGTAATGCAAATAGTTCCTCGAGAAATTTACGAATACGGATTAAGCGAAAAATTAAATAATCAAAATAAAGAAAAGAATAGCCAATTACTTTAATATCGGGGAACTATTCAGCAGATACTATTCTCGTATTACAACATCTGATACTATTTGATACTGTCAAACTAAAGAAGAAATATCCAAGAAGTTCAATGTAGGAAATCTATGAGGTATTATTTTATTATTATCTATCTTTATTAACATTTTTCATAACATTGACAAAAGAAGAATTGTAATTTTTATTATATTCTAGAGTCAATAATTGATTTTAATATGCGCATTGCCGAAGATCAAATATGTGTTTTTATCTATACAATATATGATGTTGATAAAATTAACCGATATTAATATGTATGAAGTATTAGAATATTTAAACACTTTAATTTGAAATTTCAATTTCAGAAATTTTTATTTTAGCAAAAAGTATAAACATAAAAATAATCTAATTATTCGATTGAAATATGTTAATCAGTTTTTTATATATCCTATTTTTTAAATAAGTCTTTTGTAAAAAATTTCTAATTTCAGAATATTATATCGATTGAAAAAGATATAAAATAAAAAAACGGTCCAAACGGATTATTAAATTAAGTTGTTTCATTATTAAAAAACGCACTTTTATCTTGCGTGGACAGCCATTTACATTCAATTATTGATTTTTTATAATTTTCTCAAATCTTAAATAACAGAAGTTTCATTTAATTTTGCTTTTTATTTTTA